ATTGAAGAGTCTGATGATGTGAAGAGACGATAAGATCGAAAATGGAGCACGTATAAACTATGCTACAGTATAAACTCATTACTCACTTAATTATTGTATATACACAAAAACAAATTTTAATAATGTATTTTCTACTAATATATGTAGTGACGTTATATATCAGGCATCCTTAATCGTAGTAATTTGTGAAATTGAAATAACCGTAGACTGGAATATTCTTGAGGTAAAGGTTAATGATTAAGTCTAAAATTACGATATCCAGAGAAGAACTATTAACTATTATTTAAAAAAAAATACATAGAGATATAATTTAATTTAAAAAGAACTAAGGTGATCGATATAAACTGAAAAATTACAAAACTATGGTAGCAATAGGCCGGCTAATAGCTCGAAGAACTGACAATCAATGGGGAAGAAAAGTTCCAAGAGCCAAGAATCTATTACAGTAAAGACTGGTAAACATAGTATATAAATACACAGGACTACGATTATTTCAAAAACATTGAAGTGAGTCAGTGAATACATAGTGAGCGAGAGGATAGCTCCAAGTCGTTCCTTATGGCAGTCTATTTGAGAGACAATAACGGCTGCAATGATAAAGATACATATTAATAATATTTTTGAATGTAGTTAATTACATAATTAATTCCTTATAGTCTATGGTTACACAAAATTTAATCAAGTGGACACACACTACTACGATTTGATAGTACATCAAATCGTATAAAAAATCTACAAAACCTTAGGGGAAAAATGGACAGCAGTGAATCACAGGTAACAAGGAATCAATCAACATATCCTCATATGTTAACATTGAGCGATATTACGTTAATAGTGTGCTATCTCTCTCATACCTTTGCTATGCTAGTATTCCCAGTGTTTGCACTCTGTCGAATGAACAATAGAATGCGAGACATTTATTTTAAAAACTTGTGAATTAAAAGTATGCGTAGACATTGCAAATTTTTGTAGACCATCACGTTAAGAAACTTTTTTAGTAGTATTGGTACACTGACAACTGAAATAGGATAAACAAAAAGTGATTTACTGTTACCCACATTTCTCTACTCAATTAGGTTTGACGCTGGACATATACGCCATTAGAGCAAATCTAATGAATGCATACAAGGTAATTAGGATCAAACCAAGTATCTACAAGGGTACTTCATATGATTCAGTGCTCTTAGTGGAGTTAATTGGCACTTAATAGTAGGTATTGTACTCGAATCCTCTTTCATTAATTTGTATCATTATTGTGAACATAATTATGATTATTGACTTCTATCCTGTGTGTGGGCTAATACAATTTTTATATTATATCTTAATAATCTAGAGAAAGATGAAGAGCATGTTTTGAGAAAGGTATTAAGTATGAATGAGGATAGCTATAAAGGCAGAAGAAAACCTAAAAAGATGTGGATGTACCGTGTGAAAGATAATATGGCTAGAATGGAAGTGAATGTAGAAATGACAGTGAATAGAGAAGAATAGAAGAGAAAAACATATTATGCCGATCTTGAACAATAATTATGATAAGGATAGGAAGATGGTGCTGATTATATCTTAATAATGTATTCAATTGTTTTTCAATTCAGAAACTTTATTTGACAAACTTGAAGTGAGTTTATTGTTTGATAACTTTTTTCTAGCCTTTCTATATAAACTTTATAAAAACGAAATCGATGTAGTCTAGCCATAGTAAAATGAAGACTATTTAGTAATTATTTAATGTTGTGCAAATATTACTTTGCAGAAATAGGTATAATTTTAACGCGCTAGAAGTCACATATCATATAACATATAGCTCCAAAATAAAATATATAAAATCAACTTTATTCCATCTTCCACAGAATCGGAATCGCATATATGGGATCAAATTTTATTTACATAATCTAAGCATCAGCGCGGTAACTTAATTCCAGTTCAAGGCTTAAAGGTAATCAAACATAAATGAAATTTTTTCATCCACTTCACGAACTTTTTGCGTAACGTTGTCAAAAGCCGAAAGTGAAATTTCCAACATGTTTGCAATCCTTAAAAGTATTGTGTTAATTTCACCCTTGGATTGGCGTGTGCGGTATGCTTTTGACTCTCAGACCTTTATGGGAATACCCTTTGTAGTATTTTATTAATTTTGTATGTAGAAAAGACAGTGCGGTGTCACAAAGCAATTCAATAGAAGCGTTTAATTATTTTATTTGAAATAAATGAAAGGTTATTTCACTATTCATTTTAAATGTTCTTATAAGTTCTAATATAATAGTATATATCGAATTTTTAATAGAAATATATAGAACAGAGTCCATCACAACGTCAGTTGTGTTATATAGGTATTATTTATTTATATTATTTATAGAATCACAAACATAAAGCACAGCAAAGCATTTCAATACAATATACTAGTGAATTAGGTCTAATTGTTCTTACATTTAGAGGCAACCATAGCATACTTTGTTTTTGAGAAATATTAATAAATAAAATAAAATTAGTCGTATTTTGTATTAGCTGTTAACGGTCCATTGTCGAACATAGACCCCACTCACTTTTTTCGGTGGTTTTTTTTTTAAACACAGGGGGCAAACGAGCATAAATAAAATAAAATTATGTTGTCGTATCGGTTCGGAAATACTGCTGCTGGAAGTTGATTCCAAAGAGTTTGTGCGTGGGAGAAAGTGCCTTGAAAAACGCACGGTGGAGGACCGCCACTCGTCCAGATGGTTGGGAGGAAATTTTAGTTTATGGCGGGTTGTACGATGGTGAAAATCTGCAGCAGGTATCAATCCGAACAATTCTTCAAAGCACTCCCCATGATAAATTCGGTAGAAGATGCACAGAGATGCAACATCTCTACGCAGTTTCAGTGGGTCGAGCCGGATAGTAAGACGCCGATCGTCAACAATTCGAGCTGCCCGATTTGTTGCGGTCTAACAGAGAGTTGGTACTGTGGCGCTCCTGCTCACAGGTGAGAACACTATTCCATGTGTGGCCTTACTTGAGCTTTATACAGTTTGCCATTAGTTGCCAATTTGACAGGTAGATTGGCAACCGCAGTTAGGCTTTGGTGATGTTTCAAAAGAGACACTGCTGCCAATCTCTCGACCATTAAGTTCCCTTAGTGGTCTCTTACGACATCCACAGGAAAAAAAGCCCATTGTATGCCGGGACCATACGGCAAATTAAATTGGTACATGTTATTAAATTAATAAAGGATATTAATAAAATTTATAAAGAAAATTATAATTAAATTAGTTGACGTAGATATTTATAACGATAGAAGGCCTCGTTTTTCCTAGCGGAGCGAAATATTGGTAGACGCAGTGCAAAATCTATATGTATATGATTCGACATTCTAAATTTAAACATTTTATCATTCAGGTATGCTATATGTTTTCAAGAGATAGTCAATATTAATTTTGCCATAATTGAAACTATTCATATATGTTATGCACCAAATATGCTTCTTAAGACAGTCATTTTAAATATATATTGTAATCACGCGGTTTATAATGAAGAGTCGTTCTTATTCCAACCAGAACTTTTTCTTGGCGAAAGTTATTCAGTTGAAAAATCAAGATACTACTGCAAACGTTTTCCACTAATTATAATTTTCCAGAACTTCTTAGAACCTTTGTACTCTTTGTTTTTTTGTTATATATTATTTAGTACAGACTAATTTGTAATATACTAGACATAAAGTTACAGCTGTCTAACGAATACGTGGAAAGAGAAATATAGTAATCTCATAAATTTGACCCGAAGCAATAAAGGTAAAAGGTTGTGAAGACACAAACGTATTTGCATGGGCACGCAGTTAGCACTCCTAATATTTTGTTGCAAATGAATTGAGGTTCAACTAACGGCTATGCTTGCTTCTTTATTGAATTAGTTTCGATTTTGTAGTTTTGTTTTGTTTTTGTAATAAAAATGTGATATTTACTGAGGTTACTAAAAAGAATATTCTTATTTTTAAGTGGCTTTCAAAAGAGATTATGTCGTAATATTTGAATTTTTTGCTATGTATATATATATATATATATATATATATATATATATATATATATATATATATATATATATTTAATAATTAACTTAGTTATGCTATTGTCTAACTATTCTACATGTTAAGTTAGTATACACTCTACCCGTACCAAATTTCATTCGAATATGTTTGGTAGTTTTTGCACGAAGAGTATCAAATATCCAAACATCTATCATTATCGTTTATTACATTAATAAGATTTATAGTTATTTTATTTGAAATCTATAATGACTACAAAAACAATAATTATATCATAAAACAATGGTTTTTACGTCTTCATTTTATATTAAACAATAACATCAGTTTCTGAGAATAAATACTTTGATACATTTTTATTATAGTCTTCGCTTTATTCCACAATTGCTATTGTGGAGGTGTAGAGATATGATACAGTTTCACAGAATCTTAAGGTCGAGTAATCTTGAGGTCAATTATTTATTTATAGGGTGTAACAAAGATATATTTGTATATATGATTGTCAATAAAGCTTACTTTCTTTCTTCTTTTTTCTACGAATATCGTAGATTCAGATTATGTTGCATAAAATCTATATAAATTAATAAATACAATACAATCATGAAGAGTATGATTACCTATATTTTATACAGCTGTGTTTACTATGAAACATATGAGGTCGACAGCCCGGTTAGTGGGTTAGTATTATCGGTATTATTAATGCCTATCAATGAACTCTTTGTTAATAAAATGACTAATTTGAGTAAAACTGACCTAAATAATTGCTTAATACTGAATTATTATATACAAAGAAAATTCTTTTGCGTAACACATGTGAGTCACTGAAAACTTTCACTTAAAAGGACTGCCTCTTGAGTGACCACAGGCATTTTGTTCAAGACTGGAGTAGACTGACGCGTCTTTTTATATTTCCATATTTTTTATATATGATACAATTTTTTTTAACACTCTGTATATAGTTCGTTGATAAGTACGTAGTATCGGACTCTGTTATGTTTTTTCCAGTGTTTGTGACTAGATAACACGTTACTATATATTATAATATTTAAAAAGTTGTGTTTTATTAAATATTTTAATTTTAATCAACAAATATGGAGTTGCCTTATAATAAGGCGGCGCTATTTAGTTTTTTCCTTTTTATATTCAAAGTTAATCCTATGTCGATAAACGGACCGGCGTTAACACGATACGATCCATGCGGTTTAGGTGTTGTACATTTCGATAAAATATTGGATTCTTCCCAAAATGTTTGGCGTGGTGTTATTAATTTTCATCTGTACCAATTAAGCCAAGTGGAAATTGAAATAAGTTTTGAGAAGAAAGTTAAATTATTATATGAGGTAAGTCCTAAAAAGCAATTACAAGTTTTCTGTTTACTTTTTATTAATTGAACGTGATGGATGATGGCGAAAATCATACATCAATTTATATTTCATACGGAAGATTTTCAATCGTTTGATTTCATTCACTTTCACACAATTTGTATTATATTTTATATTGCATAAATGATTCTACAAAAAAAAAAAAAACAGATAAAGACTTTAATAAAAGTAACATAAAAAATCAACGGTATCTAACAAAGGTCAAATTTAATGTACAAGAATTCAATTTAATTTGAGATAACAAAAAAAGAAAGTTTTAAAAATAGAACAGTGTAAAAAGGTTACAAAATTATAGTCCTTAAGAATCCAGTAATTTGATTTGTGCCTTAAGTAAATTGACTTAAATTCACATTGAATTAAAAATATTAAGCTTTGATTTCAAAGTTAGAATATCGGGAAATAATCATCTTAACATTTGATCTTAATGAGTTTAGAATTTCTACGTAAAGTCTTCAAATGTTAAAACTGAGCTTGAGCTTATATCATATATAGCCTCCTTTTCAACCGACTTCAAAAAAGAAGGAGGTACTCAATTTCATTGTAAATATATGTTACCTTTTATTACTTCGTGAGTTATAAATCGACTTGAACAATTCTTTTTTATCGGAAAGGATATATTTTCAATTGATCTTGTAGAAGTGTTATCAAGATTACTATAGTTTTTAAATAAAAATAACTAGTTTTGTTATAATTAAAGTCTTTTTTTTTTTGTAGAACTTAATCTTAAATATTTATTTTAATTTTTATATTGCAGCCTTTACTAAATATAGATATAAGTGTTATAAACGACTGGCATGGTTTTATACTTAAATCTAAAGGATTGATCCTGAAATCTTATTCATTTGTTGTAATTATTGACGATTTGGAATCAAACGAAAACGATGTACCTACTGTTACTCAATTTACAATGAATAATGTGACAGTTTGTGACGATGCTGTCAAGGTAAGAAGAAATATACATTGTTTTTTTTTTCAATAAAAACATCTATTTATACTGCTGAACATGAGCCTCCCCCTAACGGGGTTTTGCCAGTAGTTGCCACGCTTGGCAGGCGGATTTGCAACCGCAGTTACACTTTCAGAGTTGTTTTAAGAGAGACGCTGCTACCCGTCTCTCGTCCTCCCTTAGCCGCCTCTTACTACACTCACGGGAAAGGAAGGGTTGGCTTATTTTACGCCGAGACCACACGATCTTATATTTTATATAAAATTATACTTTAATACATATGTTATATAAATTTAATAATTAAAAATTATAATTTAATAATAAACTTATTTTTTTATAATATATTTAATTGGAGACTCAAAATTTTCATTCATTTTTAACAGGTAGATAAATTATTTAGTACCTACTATAAATGCGGTTTTCTTACTTTGTAACTAGATGTCGCTGTTTGATAGCCCGGCTATTTGCCTGTTTGATATAACTATGGGTTGCCTACCCAGTAATTTCAGTCCTATGTCACGCTATCAAACTGAAATAATACTCGCAAAAGTACAGATATTTATTGGCAGAAAAACAAGTGAAATATGGATACCTTTACAGACAACTTTTAATACATAGTTTCGTTTCAAATTACTTCAAAAAGTAGGAAGTTTTCAATTTGGTTAAATTTTTTTATGTTTGTTACCTCGTAACTACAGCATTTCTAAACCGATTTGGAAAACAATTTTTTTTATCTAAAACAATATACTTACAGATTAATTCTATAGGAATTTCATCAAAATCGCTTCAGAATTTTTTATCTCAAAATAACTGGTTTTGTCACAATTGAATTTAATTTTTTTTATAGGATTTTTAATCTTTGTAAATCTTTATACCTACTTTTTTGATACATTAAAATGCGTAAATACGCATTCGAGAATTATAGTTTTTTTTATTATATATTTTAGAATGGCAAACAAGATAACGGTTCGGCTAATGATAAATAATCGTCGTCCATAGATATGAACTGCACAATAGACATCAGAATATTCTGTGACACCCTCAAAATTCTTTATGGATTACCATTCCTTGGCACTTTTTTTAATGGATGATAATGGAATGGTAATCCCGCCTGCGCTATTGGTATACACTGGTGGGGCACCAGTGAGGGACGATAAGTGAGGATGAAGCAGGTCAGTTAGCTCACTGTGACGAATCTAACAATAAATCAATCACAATGGTTTGCAGGGGGACCATGAGGAGATCAACCTGACAGGGTATATTGCTAGCAAAATCCTTATTACCTTATCTTCTTCCCTTATCCCCCCTATTCTTTAGGACTATAACGTTATATTCATTCCGATACCATTTGCACTATGGAATTCGAATACACATCTTTTTGCTATTTGTGCTAAGTGTGTCCCCTGACACACACATACATGCTTATACGTTACATTTTCAGTTTTATATTTTCAGGCATCACAAACTATTGAATCTTTGAACGTAACGAAAACCCCGGACAAATATGCGCATATTTGCGGAAGACGGTCGTTAGATCATACTGAACTGGTGTCTGTAAGAACCGAAGCCAAGGCCGGCGATTGGCCGTGGCACGTCGCCATTTTCCTAAGGAACCCTAATGCGATTGGCGAAGAATATTATTGCGGTGGCAATATCATATCAAGGACTGCTATTGTAACAGGTTCGAATCCGCGTTCACTATTTTATTGGAATTCGATATTGTCTTACTGGCAATAAGCAACGTACTATAAACATTTATGTCTGCCGCCTAACGCTTTGTTATTATTCGGTCACTTTGTAGATAACAGGGTTGGATTTGGGTGAATATTGTTATTAGATTTACGGTAGACTTTTTTAGAACTTTTTTTAAGAACGTGTAGAGGGTTTATGTCCCTATATGTTAACTTATTTATTTAAGAGCTCCCTGCCGAGTTTTTTCCAAGGCTACCGCATGGGGTTCTTTAAAAAAGGTTAAAGAGTGTCTTTAGGGTCGGCAAAGTGCGGGTAATACCCCTGGTATTGTAAGCGTTCATAGGCTACATTAACCACTTACCATCAGGTATGCCGTCTGCTTGTTTGTCACTTCATTGGTATAAATAAAAATTGTTGCGAATAATTTTTGTATTAGTTCTTAGATCAGTAATATCGTACTAATATTTAAATATAAGGTTTCTTGTTAATGTTTCCTATCATGCTTTATGCGCTTATATCTTGCCTTACAACTTGTCATGATACATGTAGTCTGTATTGATGTTGTTAAATGTTTTGTTGTAAAGCTATCCTGTGCATCTAATAAATAAATAAATTAGGTGTAAATGAAGATAGTATTTTATAATATATTGGTTCACTATTGCTAGTTACTAAAAGAAAACTCTGTATTGTGTTAAAATATATACTAACGTTCACAAAAAAAGCTATTAATAATAAAATAACAAAAAAAAAAAATGAGAATACAAATTATAAAAGATTTCGGAACATTGATCTTGAAATGACTGCATAATTTACAATTACCTGAATCATTTAACCACAGAAATTGATATTGTTATTTCAGTTTTGCGTACATACGAAAATACAATATGAACAAGGCAAAATTTATGTTTAAGGATATTGCCACAAGAATATACCTATTTTTGTGAGCAAAATTACAATAAACTTGAGTTTTAATGAAAAAAAAAATTGATATAAATATAAAAAAGTCATCGTCATGCATTTTCAAATTTTGATATTATCTATTGATTATGATTTATATAACATTAGACGACCCGGTGAATTTTGTATCACTTATAACGCCATCTATTAAAAGTAATTCGAAGTGGCGATTCCCATTCAAAATTATTTGTTTTTAATTTGTCGGTTTTTCAGATGAACTTTAATCTGTTCAGACATTTCTTTCTTTTAAACTATCTCTGTATATAAACGAACAAAACAAAAAAAAAAAATTAAACACAATTAATTAGAAACAAGCCAATTTTGAGTTTTAACAAGATTAACGGAACGGCAACAGATTATTATATATATTTTTTTTTTCTGAGACAGAATGTTTAGTTAGAAGTTTATAATAAAATCCAAGTCAAAGCTAAAAGTATACTTTCTTGAAGTAAGCAAAGTTTTTTTATATCAGTTTGGGTACAACAACGACCAAGATCTTGTATAGGTGATGGATATTTGTATACATCTAACTTAAACGAACTTATCCACATAACATTTATCCATAACAAATATAGTAAGAACTTCTGAAGAAATTTCGCCTTTCTGCAACGTTAGTTTTCAAAACATTATGACAGCCACGTAATGTATGCAACATTTAATTTGTTACAGCCGGCCATTGTGTCAGAAAAGCCGGTGTGACTGTGGACGCGAGTAGAATTGTAATAGTGGCCGGTGTAAGTAACCGTAGAGACATCAAGCAGGTTGGCAGACAAATTGTTACGGTGAGTACTAGGTTTTATTTCTTCTATAACTCAAACCTAGATGTAATCATATAATTTATATATATAATTCAAATCGTTCAACATACCGGCAACAGTTGACAATTACCTTTATTATTTTGAGATTTTGTTACGGACTTAATTGATAAAGCCAGTTCTATTGTATCTTTTCTGGATACTATGTAACTGAAATTTTTATGTCTTTTTTTTGTAATTTATTTTAATAAATAGTAGATTTTTATGCAACTTCATTTCATAACAGAAAAGATTTTCAATTTGATGGTGTTTTCTCAAAATAAATATTTCACGACTCTATTGACTTAAATAATAATAAAAAAATTAAAGAATAAGGTAGAGTAATGTATAATAATAGTATTTTATTTGAGTATAAAAAACAAACTTAAAAAAATACCATGAATGAACCCATTTACCATACTAATTAGGATAATTTACATTACTTGTATGCCATATATACTCGTATGTATAATGATTTTCTTTTTGTAATCATAATTCACATTTATTTATTTAGCTTACTAGGTCTACCGTTTATATCTATGACGTTAAAACATATGAATGAATGAGTATACTTTATTTGCATTATATAATATAGAAAAAAAAAAAGACAAGACAACAAATATAACGATACAATTGTATAAGTACAGTAGGGTGGTTTTTTTGCTGTGAGCAATCTTTTCAAGACAACCTTAGGGTAATGGACTAATTGTTGTACAAGTAGTACAACGTAATGTTACTAAACAATATTTATATATTTATTATTATACATATATCTGTTTACTTATTTTTTAATATACCTATTTTTTAGGCACAGAAAGTAATTTTGCATCCCGGTTACACGGATACGTTAGCAACGGCTGATTTGGCAGTTATCAAAGTAAATAAATTCAGATACACTGAATACGTACAACCGATATGTGTGTGGGGACCAGTTTATAATAAGGATATGCTTTTTGGAAAAGAGGCTGCGGTAAGTACAATTAGGGAAGTTAGTCATTAAACAAAATTGGGCACGAAATACTAAATAACGAATCGAGATTTATGATTTTTGTTGATTATTTTATAATTAAAAATATTAGAGGAAAAGTTTCTAAATTAACGAACAATATAATCAACAAAAACTACTTCGATTCCAGCGCCATCTAGTATTTCTTGTCTAAGTTTTTTTTTTGACCACCAACTTAAAAGTAATGTTTTTATAAAATATGTGAATTATTACTATGTATATATAAAATAAATTACTTCAAAAGGGTTAATTGGTAATTGGTTTCCGCTGACGGGGTTCCAATGAGAGAAGAAAGGATAAATAAATGATAGGTCGTAGGGGTAAATCATTTACTCAATCATGACAAATCCCCAAGAAATTAACTATAACAGTTTCCAGAGTACCATGGATATCATAATTCTGTGATGACAATCGTACTATCATTATAATTTTAGCTATTAACCATCTACTGATGAACATAAGCCTTTTCCATAAGGGTAATTTTGCCAGTAGTTGCCATGGTTGTCAGACGAGTCGGCAATCGCAGTTATGCTTTTAAACATGTATTAAAAAGGACGCTGTTGCCCATCCCTCTACCAATAAGGTCATTTAGTCGCTTCTTACGACACCCACAGAAAAGGAAGGGGTGGCCTATTCTATGCTGGTTTCACATGGCCATCGTATTCTACACGTCTATAAAGAACGATTACAACTTTTAATCCAGTAATCAGTATGTTCGCCATTCTAAGTTGTTATAAAAGTAATAAAATTACGGTATTGAATTACAGATAGTCGGATTTGGACAAACAGAAGACAATAAGCCATCTGACGTTCTGCGCTCCACCTATACCTTAATACAGAATGATACAACGTGCGTATCGTTTGCACCGAACGTTTACGAAAGGCTCCTAAATGAATTTACTTTTTGCGCTGGATATGGTTATAACTCCAGTAAGTACCTATCCATGGATTCTTTTTTCAATATTTTTCTTTATATCACAAAGATGGCAAATAAGCATTCAGCCTCAGCTGTTAACTGTCCACTGTTGAAAGGAAAAATACTCATAAGGGGGGTTTTGCCATTAGTTGCTACGCTTGTCAGGCGAGTTGATAACAACAGTTAGGCTTTGTGATGTTTTAAAAGGAATACTGCTGTCCACCTATTAAGTTCCCTTAGTCGCCGCTTACGACACCCATGGGAAAGGAAACAGACCTATTCAGCCTGTTTGCTAGTAAATAATCACTACTTTATAGGCACCTACAATATCAGGTCTGACACGAATATATTACTGGTATTAAAATAACCTTAATATCCTCTTTTGAAAAACCCAATACTATAGTCTGTAGAAAAACAATTGGCAAGGAGCTTATTTGTATCCTGAATATACGCGGGAGATAACTCTTCTGAAACCGTACTGTATGCCACTAATTCGGTTCTAGTGTGTTAGGATGATTCCCTAGTACTACAATATAAAAAATATATATATTATGATATTACAAAATAGGTATTTACCACAATATATGCATTACTTTATACAAAAATCATCTCCATGGGTTGTTTTCTTGGGTTCTTTTTTTGTAAATATTCCCCATTTCGGATTCTACCGGAAAAAAAGTTACATTAGGACAGAATAGTACAACGACGGTTTTGTTCTATATATCAATTATATGAATTAATTTATATTGTTACGAATTTCAGCTGTGAATCCACGAAACGGAGACAGCGGAGGTGGCTTGGTGATTCCAGTTCTTCAACCAGATCACAAAGTCAGCTGGTTTTTGCGTGGTGTTCTCTCAAAATGTGGAGTGTCTCCAGGACATACCGATTGTGACCCCCATTACTACATGGTGTATACAGATGTGGGGCCCCATTATGGATGGATTTACCATCACTCTGACTTAAAATTTCAAAGTAATATTGTTTTTACGCAATAGTTTAGTATAAAGTTGAATATATTGTGATATTAATTTTAAGTTTATTAATTATAGTAACAGTTATAAGTCAAACAATTTTTTTTATTGTGTTATCATTATATGATTGGTGTAATTAAGCAATAATAGGTAATTTGCATGAGACGAGTTAAGAAAGTGGATGATGTAAGAGATGTTATGTAAGAACAAGCATTGTTAGTTAATAGTTTTAACAAAAAAAATCTCTTTTCTGTCGTCAAGCAGCTGTGCTTATATGATTGCTTTTTGGCTGTGGATGAACGAACGAGTATATTTTATTTGCATTATATATTATAGGGAGTATGCAATAAGTTATATAACGTTGTAACACAAAAAGTAACAAAAAGTTGTATAAGAACAGTAAGACTGTGAAGAGTGGGATGTGGCAGTAAAGTTACAGAGTATGGAAATTTAATACTATAGTTTTTAGTTAGAAATGGCAACGCATGGGCAGTGGTACTAGTAACAAAGGTTGAACTCTTTGAAACTCTTTGAAAGTCATTATATCAATTAATAAAAATAAATTTTGAAATATACTTGGGAATGAATACGAAGTACTATATATGGCTATAAAAAGCAGTTCATGTGAAGGATACGGTGATTACTTACTTTCAATTTAGTGGACTATCAGTTTTTTTACTATTCCCATAACATATCAGCCGTTAATTGTCCACTGCTGAACATAGGCCTCTCTGTATTAAGAGGTTTTGCAGGTTGTTGTCACGTTTGGCATGTGGATTGGCAACCGTAGTATTTTAATGGGTGATAATGAAATGGTAACCCCGTCTGCGCTATCGGTATACACTGGCGGGGCACTAGTGAGTGATGATAGATGAGGATGAAACAGGTCAGTTAGACCATAGTGACGAATTCATAAAGAATTAATCAAGATGGTTTCCAGGGGAAACCGCGTGAAGGTCGATATGATAAGGTATATTGCTAGTTATGGGGTTGTTAGATCTTCAATACTAACAATCCCTTTCCCCCGGCAACCGTAGTTAGGCCTTGGTGATGTTTTATTAAGAGGGCCGCTGCTGCCCATCCCTCGACCTTTAAGTTATTTTAGTCGTCTTTACTATATTCACAGGAAAGATTAGATGGCTTATTCTATGACGGGACCACACAGCAGTTATTATTCCCAATTTTATAAAAATAATTTCATGATTCAAATGTGACACCACACGTAATAGTGGTAATCGATACAATCATTTGCGTTAAAGTGGCTGAACGTACCTGAATGAATAATATGATTTTTTTTATACAACTTAGAATGCCAAACAAGCTGACGGCCCACCTGATGGAAAGTGGTAACCATCGCCTATAGACATGACATAACAGAGTATACTGTTTCGTCCATGATATCCACCATGCGTTGCCATTCCTGAGGACTGTTATTGTCCAGAGATGTTATTCCTCTGTACCCTGTAAATTCACGCCATATCCCACCCTTCAAACGGAAACACAGCCATGCAAACACAACTGCTTTACGGTAGAAACACGATTGGGACAGAGTTACCCAAGCAATCGACTTTTATACAAAGTCTCACTCTGGTAAAATCTTTATATTATTTCACTTAAATTCCGCTCTGAAAGACAATTATTGGTGAAAGTTGACTAACGGGGCCACATAAGGTTAAAAAGCTACAGAATATCTTCATAACTTCGTAACTAATTAAAAAACTTGATACAACAGTCTGCTGATAAAAGGTATAATGGATACTTATAATGCGCTGTGTTATAAGTCTTTCCTTTTTTGTTCGGTGACACTTTCTAATAAGATTTTAATAAATTATGCAGGAGTACCGTACCAAGTGCCGTCGTCTGTATTATGCTGGCTTTTTCATTTCCTCGGAAGACACTCTTAGTATCAGTTCGGGCTTGTGTTATAATAATTTTTTTGAATATAAAATGATTGAGTGTGCCTCTGTTATAAAACTAGTCGAAACCCGTAGCTTGCATTGTTTAGAACGGAATATTTTTAAATAATTTGATTAGAATTATTTTATTTAATTCCTCTAACATTAGTGTGTGTGTGTGACTACCATTACAAGATTGATCACCACTATTGCTATATTGCTATATTATTATGGTAATAATAAAGGCGGTATTTCTTCGAGTGTTGGCAGTCACATAAATACTAATAGTAGAGGTTTTAAACAAAATTATTAATTTGACGTTCATAAGCGGCTAAAATGTCCTACATGAATAAATGATTTTTGAATTTTGAATTTTGAATTTTGAAAAAAAAAATTCAAACTTATGTATATTTTGAAAGAAATATTTACAATGAAAAAACAAAAGAAGAACAGTGACAGGCATAATAAAAATAAATGGCTATTAAAAAAAATAAACAAAAAAGGTCGCAACGTTAACATTATCGAGATTGTATTCAATTCTCAATTTAAATTTCTTTTCATTTGTTATTTTTTTTTAAGTCAATAATTAGTATCAGTAGTAACGTTTCCAGTACATATTATAGTATCTATCTATCTCTTTATTAAAAAATGTGAATTCTAGAACATTCTCGCAATAATGCGGAGGCGTGTAATTGAATTTCTGAGGCGCTACACGTCTTCACTCTTCTCTAAGACAGGATTCTCTACTGATGATAAATTGTATTTATGGGGTGGATATTAAAAAAGACCGAGAATATATTATAAATAATGAATAACTTAGAAGTACTAAAAACTAAAAATGCTATAATTTATTTATTAGGGGAGCTTTACTTAATAATTAAATATAGATAACAACAGTAAGCCAATTAAAAGCTACCACATATAGTTAACGAAAATTGATGTTAGGTAAAATATATATAATATGATAAGTGGGTGGGTAAATACAAGCTATACATTGTTTAAATCATTAAGCGATAGGGTAGTTGATTCATTACGATGAATTTATCTAGAATTAACCACGATGGGATGTGTGGAGACTGACCTGATAGGGTATTTTGCCAGCTATACTCAATATATACATATCTGTTTAGCCAAAGGTTGACTGGGAGAGAATGCTATATATTATTAAGTCCGCCTTTTGTACCAGAAATTTTTTTTGTAATGTGGTCAATAAAGCATAAATAAATAAAAATAAATAGGAACTGATATTTCCAAAAAAAAAAAAGAATCCAATAGCATTTATTAAGCATTAAACCAAGAAAAAATTATGTATATAATTCAAATAATCACATAGTTAAATATTTTTGTTTATTCCAAAAGAGTGAAAGCGAAAAATATTAATTATTTCTAATTCTGTCTTTTTTGCTAGAAAATTATAATTACTGTAAATAAAATATAAATAAACAACTAAGACAATGAATAATGCCAAACGAAACGGCAAATAATTTCAAACCTTAATTCCTTAGGCATCTGGGAATTTCAAATCATAATTTCACAAATATGGCAAGTTTCTACGAAGTTCGCTTACATTGTTTCTTTACTATTGTGTAACATAATAGTCAAAGGCGTTCTCCATTTCAGTTTCAATATATTTAGAGGTTTTCCGGGAAGAAAAGCAAAAACTGTAGACAGACCGTTGGTGCGCCACGCCGCCAATCGAGGAAGGAGGAGCAATCAACATTAATGCTTTATACCGCCTCACGAGGCTGGCAGTTCCCACAAAATCGAATGTTTACGATTCCTGATACAACATTTGGTGTTACATTTCATGTATCGTATACATCGACCATTGTTTGTAGTTAATTGTTCAAATTTCTTACATAGTAAGTGTAATTCCATGAGTGATGAAAAAGCTTGCTTTATTATATAAATTGTACTATATTTGAGCCTTCTCTAGGTATCATCTTCTGTTGGAGGTTTTGTAATTTTAATTTTGTTTATCGACAATTTGAAAAAAGGCTGCTTCAGATATTTTAACTATAATGTTCGTTATTTACATAGAAATATTATATTTTTTTTTAGAACAGATGCCCAGATTTTTTTTATACCACGAAGGTGGCAAACAAGCATACAGCCCTTCTGATGGTAAACGATTACTGTAGCCTATAGACGCCTGCAACATTACGGGCCTACAACATTACGTGTGCGTTGCCGACTCTGAAGAAACCATAATATTCCCTATTTGAAATACCTCATACTGTAGTCTCTAGGGAATTCCTTTAAAAACCTTATTAAGGCACGGCAATAGTACATGCATAATATAAAAAAATATTTACAATTTTAATTTTACGATCGTTAACTAGTTCGTTATTTTAAATTATAATAATTAATTAATAATTTATTCTCATAAGTATCAAATTCTAATAAGTATCAAATTTACATCAATTATTTATTATTACAATAAAACAACTGCTGAATTAATTATACATCATCATTCAGCCATTATCCGTCCATTTCTGGACATAGGCCTCGCCCATAGCTTGCCATAAGGAACGGTCCTAAACCACCTGCATCCATTGACTCCCTGCAATGCATTTGAGGTCATCACTTCATCTAGTGGGGGGGGGGGGGGATCGTCGTACACTGCGTTTGCCCGTACGGGGTCGCCACTGAAGAACTTTTCTTCCTCATCGATTCATAATTATACATAATCATGAAAACCTTCTTACTGTATATAATATTTAAAGCATTCAGACTTAGTTTTACTGTACAATACTCTTATTATTTTTAAAATTTTTATACATTTTTTAAATAATTATTTTGTTCTTTTATTTTAGTTTATTTTATGTTAAAATTTTTTTACACAGCATACACGAGTATTAACATTTCAAATAATATTCAATTCAAAATATGTTTTGTTACACAGTTCTCTAAAATTTCAATTCTCAAACCAAGCACAATATGAGGATTTAGTGTAAATGCAGGACATTTTCCGTGCTTACGTCGACTGTTCGGGACGTTACCCACATCATTTGCTTCTGTATAGCTCTGAAGCAATGCAAGCTCAACCAAGCAAGAAACGATTTTCTTGCAAGTGCGGCGTGCGGCCTCATATATTGTAATACGGTTGTGAACCTGCATTGTTCGTCTCTTATATATATTTGTAATATTAATATATTAATAAAATATAGATAATGTTTTCATACTAATATATAAATAATAAAC